CCCTTACCTGTTATATCGGGTCTGTCGTCTATAAGCAGGTCAGCAGAAACCACCGTCTTATCGCGCGTCAAAACGATCTGCTCCAGAAACTCGGGGCCGAAGTGCTTCTCCACCCAGGCGTACTGGAAGGCGAGGGGTGAGCGGTGAGCGTGGGCAGAGGAAAACTGATGGATGGGGCAAGGGCTGCTCAGCCTGGCCCCCAGCTCGTTTAATAAGTTCCTTAGTGGGAAGGATTTGGATGCTGCTGGAGCACAAGTTCTTTACAAGCCAAGCGGCTTTTGACATCGTGATGAAATATTAAGACCAAGCAACTCAGTGCAAATGGCAAAGCTCGGCCGACAGCGGAGCTGCAGCTCTGCGAAGACGCTCAGGGACAAAACTGGTGGAGCAGGGAAATATTGCTGCTGTTGGACAGCACGTGGGGGTCAGCTGGCTTTCACCAGGCAGCACAGCACAGAGGGGGGAGCTGGGATTCAAACCTCCTCACCTTCTCGTAAGGGCAGTAACGGTACTTCTTGATCGGGCTTGTGCAGATGAACACGTCGGTGCTGCCACGAGGGGAGAAACGGAGGCAGAGTGTCACTCCATGGTCAAGCACGCTGATCAGACCCTGCTCCCCCTTGGAGCTGCCTCTGCAAGACCCCTCTCCGTGCCTGCGCAGGCAGGCACCCAAAGCAGACCCCCCGCCACAGATTTAGGTCATTAATCCCCCATCTTGCAGGGTCCCATCCCCAAGACGTGAACCCTTCACCACCCTTGCTGGGAGCAGAGCTGAAAGGAAGGGGCTGCACGTGGCTGATTGTCTTGTAAAGTGCTCCAGGAGTCAAAGCCCTCTCTTCCCCCCTAGGCCTAGCACACCAAGAGGTGTTTTTAATGCTGCTGTTCTGTCCAGCACTTCTGCCAGGTGGCGGATGAGCCTGCAAAGCCACTGCTGCTCCCCCATCCATCCCCAAATACCATGGGCAGGTTCCTACTCACTCTGCCAAATTTGCCATTTGCTTTACAGCTTCCACGGCCCCGGGGAGCGGGTCCAGCTCAATGAAGAAGTTCTTGGATTCCCAGATGCTGATGGCTTTCTCCTGTGAGGGGAAAGAGAGCGGTTACTGCACAGGGCTTCTTGCTACTCTCCTCCCTGCGTGTGCATTTCCTCCCCTGCCTTTGTTAGGACAGAGGATGGTGACAGTGAGAAAGGTGGGAACGCTGGCTCCGGTCCCCTCCTGCCTTGCCTCTGTGGGTGCCTCTGTTCCCCACCTGCCAAACTGCACCCGTCCTGTACAATTTAGACCGGAGAGGCTCTGGAGCAGGCTTGATTTTGCCGGTGCAGCCCCAGACGCAGAGGGAACAGCACATTCCTCCAAGGCAAAACTCAAGAGATTGTCCAGATCTGATCCAAACCCCAGCTCTGCATCCGGAGAGGCATTTCCACATGGATCCGGCTGATGTGGCCTGGTAGCCCTGCTGTAACGTGACGCTGTTCAGCCATAGATGCTGTCTGGCCTATCTGTCTCCATCAGATCACTCACAATAGCAGCTGGGCTGCTCTCAAAGGAGAAGGTATATTATAGGATGAAAATGCATGTCAGGATGAATGTAGATGCTCTTCCTCAAGGTCTACCAGGCAAATGCAGCACCTCCAGGCGAGGGCTTGAAATGGTTCACATCCAGGTTGGCAGCCGGGGTACACTAGTATGGCACAAAGGGAGAGCAGAGACCATGGGGAGCAAAACCTTGACACAAGGGCAGAGTACAGGAGCGGCCTGCAACGGGTCCAGAACAGCTCTAAGAACGGCATCCCCTCCACTCCCTCAAACAGGTAACGGCTTGCCAGCCGCCAAGAAAAACAACTCCTTTGCAGAGACCCCGGGTCCTCGGGGAGGAGAGCCCGGACTGCTGCACCACAGCTGCGGGCAGACGATGCAGCCCTGTACCAGCGTTGCAGTGCAGCCAAGGAGCTGCACATGCAGCCGGGAGCAGTTTTGAAGGGAGCCCTGCCCTGAAGGATTGATCCTGATTTTGAGCACCTCTGGTCTTGTATTTGAGGCAGGGGAATAGGGACAAAAAGAACTTTAAACCCATCCTGGCCTTCTTGGTATTGCAAGGGTATAGAGGAGCTGGCACAGCATCAGGGTAGGGGAGAGCAGCCTCAGTGATGTTTATATGTTGTTCTTACAGCTCACTGCAATAAACAGGCTGGTTGGACATGCCAGCTAGACTTGCACATCCCTCCTGCCCGATGAGCGGGAATCTAGTGGGTAACAACCACGTTTTGCCTTTACTACACCTGTACTGGGGCCAGAAAGCAGGCAACCATGGGCAACTGGGGCTTTGCTGGGAACTCCAGGCTCAGGGCAGCAACACCCCAGAACAAACACAGGGGTGACTCGGGGAGTCATGTTCTGCTTCATCATGCTGGCTGCCTGCACCAAGCCGCTGCCTGCACACCTTGCCTGCTCTCACGACGACGAACGCATGAACCCATTAGATATTTGGGCACGGAGGGTTTAACATGAGATACCACAATCAAACCCTGTATTTCTCAAAAAAATCCCAGATAACATGAGAAGACCAGACACCCAACTCCAAAGGAGAGACTACTCAGGTCAACTGTTGCGCTCTTCCCTTTTGCCTGAGCAGCAGAAAACATTGCTGCTCCAGCGGGGGGGAAGAAAAGCCACTTTCATACATGTTCAAAGCGAAACACGCTGATACGATGCAAGAGAACCAGCAGAAATGCCTCCTGGCACCGTGGCAAGCGCAGCTACCCTATCAGTTTGCCACGGAGCCAGGCAAACATCCAAACCGCAGCTGCTCTGCCTTAGACCGGTGGGCAATGATGTTTTATTTTTGAGATGCTGTCTGTAGTTGCACAAGAGACACCTGAGAAACGCAGCCTGCCGCAGCAAAGCACTTCAAACTGCGCTGGAGTGTTTTCTTACAGCAAGGACTTCCGTAGCTATTCTGCTTCCACTTATGTCAAAAAGCATCTTGCAATCAAGATCGACTGGGGAAGAACTAAGCTCAACTTGAAGAAAAGACCCGCTTGGCTCCAGAGCCAGAATAATTCCCTGTGGTACCACAGCCAGCACACTGCCCGGCAGATGGAAAAATCCCACAGACTGGGAATCCCACCATGTGCCAGGCAGGACAGACCCTCAATTTCCTTCTTATCTCACCCTTTCAGAGTGGGAACGTCGCTCTTTGCCTCCTATTTTCTGGGCTCCTCCAGCAGGTCAGTGGTGCTCTGTGATGAAGGGGGACCGGAACGGCACATGTGTCAGTAGCCACAGAGTGGCTCCTACTCCCTTTATCCATGGTCTGAAACACGGATGAAATCAGGGTTGCCCTGAGGTGGATCTGCGGAAGATTTGCTTCTTGTTCAGACCAAGGTTTTGGTGGCTTTACATGATGACAGGAGACGCAAGGTGAGCTCACTTCATTTAACACATCCAAAGCAGTTAAGATCAAGAAAAAAAAGCAGTTATCATGCATTACCTCTGCCAAATTTCTAGCATCTGCCTTACTGCATGACTGACATCATCCATTTGCCTTTCACCAATCCCAGGTAGAGGGGACACGTTATTGCTTCAGCTCACCAAGCTGTTTAGGAGTGCCAGTGGGAGCGCCCTGGACCTTCACCCTCCCTTCCTTGTAGCCATCATGCCACTAAGGACAAGAGCACTTTCATTCGCTGTAACACCTTTCAGCTATCGCAACTGCAACCCACAGATGAGACCGCAGGCATCCCATCGAGATGGGAAACCTGTAGAGGCAGAAACCCACTTTCTGCAGCACTCAGCCCTTCGCTGAAGGATAAAGTACAACAGAAAGAGGTGCTTTTAGTTGTACTTCTGCTTTTAGGCTTTAATTATTAAAATGAATATGGTAATTTTCAGGCACGGGAGGGCTTGGGATTGTTTTAAGTAAGCCCTCACATGAAGCATCAATTGCATGGTCTGCTCTCAACTTCTCTGCTGCATCCCACCCCTCATGTTGCTGTGAGGAACTAACGAATCCATCCAGGAATGGTATCAATCCACACAGCTTGGCCAAATCAGAGCTTGAAAAACACAGCTATGCAATCCGGGATAGTCTAAATCATTTAGATGTTCAGAGATCTCCTTTCCTTGCATTTATCTCCATCCACGCATGCAGGGAAAAAAAGACAGATGTCCATGAAAACCGCTGGTTTCAGGGGAGGAAAAAAGAGGCTGAAAAGCCCTCC